AACGGTTCCTGGCATAGGTTATCCAAACCTATTCCAGGAAAACGATGCCGAGTTATTTGGACGCGACCGAGCACAATGTTGTAATCTTTATAATTTTACGCCAAAATTGAGTTTCGATGTGAAAACGAAATATTCAATGTTTTATTCTCTGCGACTTCTTACGAGCTTCTTTAATTACGATTCTGTAGATAAACATATCTACTATTACTGGCAATTTTCACCGAGTAAAGATTGCAACCATAAAGGAAATTTTCCAACTTCACTTCTCTATTGCCACTTTACGTTCGATACTATCTTAAAATCTTCCAGTTTCCAACGTTGAAAAACGTCACGAGGCAAAATTCGAAAGGATCCATCAAAGTTATATATTCTTGATTTTCCAACGCGAACGAACGAGGATATTTTTCTCGAGGATGGAGAAATAGTTTTCGAAGAAATATTAGATAATAACCAAGGGGTGTAATAACGTTCGCGATTCTAAATTTTCAGCTCTCTTTGAGGAAAAGCGCGGCCGTTTGCCTCGCGGTGTTTCGCACAGGCCGAGAGACGAGCGTTCGATCGGGAATTCGAGCTTGTAATGGGCGCGATACATTCCGCATCGCCGTTAATGCGGGGCAACTTAATGTAAGCAGCGAGCGAAGGAATAATAGTGGCCTAGCCTACGGACATTCATTTATCTTAGTTTATTGCCAACTGCGAGGAAACAAACACCGTTGGAATACGCAACGACGCGCCATTAACCTCCCAGTCGCTTTGCCGAGCCGAGCTTAACGGTTTGTCTCGTACTTTTATTCCGACTGACTTTCAGTTTGCTTAATAATGACTTGATGACGCATCGTCATTTGTATCGGCTTTCCTAATTGGATTCGTATCGACGTGACCGCCTCGTGTTGCAACGAGAAAATCTTTGGAAATCCGAGATTTTCCTGTTAGACGGGAATAGAATTCCTTGTTGTCGTCTATTATTTATTTAGCTACCATATTAAATAATCTCTTTCAAATATTATATGCAGAGTGGAAATTTTTTTAAGCATGCATTACGATGGAAACTATTTATATCGTGAAAAAAACTAAGATTATTTGCCGTAACGGTTGGAAGATAAATTTGTTTGAAGCAAGAAGCGGTGAGAGACAGATAACTAATGATTATTTTTTTAAATTATTATTTACAAGAAGCTTCTAAAGATTCACACGTGCACTACCAGGAAAATCGAGTTTGCAAAATTCTATCTTCGTCGAAATCGAATTCGATATAAACGAAATTTTCTAT